TTATATGTCTGTAAAATTTTTATTAGTATGTGTTTGCAGTCCATAATGATTACATTCATTGTGGGGAGTTGGTACATGTCGAGGACCAGAGGAGAATTAGGCCCTAATTGGCCTCCTCTGTGAGCACCAAGGAGAAAGGCTGCACTCAGGGGTGATTGCAGATTAGGGAGAAGTTAAGGCAGCTGAGGTTAAGTAGTTTACCAGAGAATGTGCTAATGATACTGGAAAGCAGATCAATCTCATGTTTCCTTGATTGCTTGTGGTGAATAAAAGAGAGGTGAGCCAAAGGCTCAGGATGCTCTGCCTGCTAGAGGTGAGAGCCCCCTGGCTGCCTGCATTTTGAGCTGACTCCATGTTTCTTTATTGTTCATCCTCATTTACCCCCAGATCAGGGAGGAACAAAGTAGCACCTCTGGGTTCCAGAGCAAGGCCGGGCAGGTACCCAAGGTCGCCTACATATACATAACACATATTAAGTCTTTTTTCTCCTCCCCACTCCTCTATCTCTTGGTACCTTTCCTCTTTTTAAAAGATTAATCTCCCTATTTCTTATTATCTATCTTTTATTTTGCTTGTTAATTTATTATATGTGATATTTAAGTTTGTGTATCTGATTTACTTCACTTAACATTTTTGTCCCAAGGAGCATCCATTTTCCTACAAATGACTCAAATTTATCCTTCTTTATGGAAGAATAGCATATAAATACCTCATTTAATTCAATACATTGTGTATAAATACCTCATTTTCTTTATCCATCCATTTGAAGGAATATAGGCCACATCCAGAATTTAGCTATGGTGAATTATGCTGCTATAAATATGATTATGCATATATCAGTGTAATATGTCTCAAACTTTTGCAGGAAGATACTTAGAAGGGAATGGCTGGGTAGGATAGAATTCTACTTTTTTTTTTTGAGGGATCTCCAGACAGATCTCCATAGTGGCTTTACTAGTTTACATTCCCACCAACAATGTAAAAGTGTTCCTTTTCCCCTGTAGCCTCACCAGCATTTGTTGTTTGACTTCTTGATGAAAAGGAGATGAGATAGGCTGGGTAAATCTAGGTCTAATTAACTTTTTTCTATTGACATTTTCTAAATGAGTAATGTACCTATATCCAAAGTTTTCAGTTGCCTGTGGGGCATTTGTAGGCTCAAGTGAAGAGCCATGTGTCTTATCAAAAACTTGAAAAAGTCTCTGACTGCCTCAGAAGAAAATACAAATCATGTTTGTCTTGTGTCCCAGTAGTGGTCTCTTGACAGTGTCAATTTGATTAAAGAGCCGGCTCAATTGTCTTGACTTCCACCATCCAAGCAAAACACTGTCTGTGTCCTGGGTTGCCCTGAAAGGCACAGGCACCGGACCAGAAATGCAAGCATAGGTCACCTTCCCAGCAGCCCGGTGGGCCAGCTGCTGCCTGCTGTAGTGAGGGATCCTCTTGCCCAGCAGACACCCAGCACCTTCTTAACCTCCATGCTGTTCTCTCCCTTTCCTTTACCTTGCTCTTTCTGCCTCCAACATCCTCTCTCTTCTCACTTACTTCCGTTGGTCTGCCTTAAACCAATTACATCTTGGCCCCAACCCCAACTCCCCCCCGCCCCGCGCACACATGCACACCTCATTTTACCAAGTCTCTATCTCTGCCTCTTCACCAACTCATTAATTCTAAGGTAACACTTTCAGAAGAACATAAAACATTAACTTAATAAACTATCACTATTGACAATACGTTCAGTTCAGGTAAGAAGGAAGATGTTCAACACCTTGACTCCCTTGAGCAGCAAGGCAGCAGCATTCATTAACCAACTGCTGTATACAGAGCACAGGGCTAAATGTGCTGAAAGAGGTAAGAGCCCTGGATCCTCACCTTGTGACTAGTGATAGGTAGGTGGCGAAGCCCATCCGACCTCCAATGTTGCTTGACAAAGTTCCAGCTGGGGGAAAAGAAGGGTGGAACACATCGTACCCTCATGTTTTATTTTTTTCATGCCATAATGTTTAAAATTGTTACTCTGGTCACAGGAGTCATTGTGTTTGTGACTAACAACAAACTCTCCATGAGGCAAAT